TGACAATCTGGTTCCATAGTTCATAATGGAAACAATACTAGGGCCTCCCTGGTGGCCTAGGGGTTAAGTCTCTGTGCTACCACCTCAATAGCCCACTGAGGTGGCTTGAGTTCGATCCCTGGCCAGGGAGATAACCACATGGTGCAGCAGACCTCTCCTGCCTCACCTGCTGCTCCCCTCAGCAGTGTATTTCAGTAGATCTGCCTGTTCTGTTCCCCATTCTGTCTCTGGTGAATCCTTTCACCCCCTGCATCCCTGGCCTACACCCCAGTTTTTCTATGTGAAAATAATTTTTTTTTTTAATGGAAACAATATAATCACCTTTCAGGATTGTCCAAACACATGGAAAGTTCTCAACACAAAGTATATTTCAGAAAATGAGATACTGAACATTCATTGCAGTTATATCCACCAATGAGCCAGGTCTCAGCCCCCTGACAAGGAGTCACCACATAGTGCTAAGGCTGAATTTAGCAAAAACAGCATCAGCCTGCTTTCTCCAATAGCCTTCCTTGTATTCCTAGCACCTGGCAGTGTGCCTAGGACAGAGCAGATCCTGGAAGGGAGCAGGGATTGGGGAGTATGGTTGGAGGGATAAAGAACAGAATTTTGAAAAAACAAAAAAACTAGGTTCAAGAATCTGGGAGCCAGGTAGATGCTCTTACATCCGTATTAACAGATGCAAGAAACCCAGGCTCACAGGGGTACCCCAACACAAGATCACGCAGCCATGGAGCGAATGAACCAGTATCTGCTTTCTCACACTGCTGCACCCCCCCTTCCCCTCAGGTTCTTCCAGCCCCTGGTGGCACCCACAGGTTAATGAAGGGTGACAGTTTGGGGAGGTATCTGGTGGATGGGTGGCTATGAGCAGATAAAAGCTTCCAGAATATGCAGAGACCTCAGGACCCACATCCTGGAGATGACATGGTCTCCAACTACACTATTTTCTTCCTGTCTTCTGCTTGGCACAGATCAGCTCTCTATTCTAGGTGAGACTGTTTGAAGCTATTTCCCAGAGTTTGAGTTTCTGGAGTTATTTTTAGCCCTGGTTTTAGCACATACCTGGGACAGGTGAGGCATGAAAAGGAATGTGGGTGTGGGTAACCCTTGAATCTGTAGTGCCAGGGTCTGGGTCTCTTGTCATTCCAGCTAAATAAAGGAAACTCACGCCCTGATTTATAATCTGCCCTGAGGCTGAATTCCAACTAAGAACTATGTGGATGAAAAATTCTGGGGTATTCTCTAATTTTGTCTGTGGAATGTACTTCTTTTGTCTTTTATTTTTGGAATACACTTTCTTGATGATCTGCTTTGGATAACACTGGATGTCTTCATTTTCTGTAACTGATACCACAACCTGTGGTCCTTTCTACAAGGCTTTGAGGGAACTGGGTAGAAAAGGGTATGATTTTGTTTTTTTTTTCCTCTATCTGCAATTAGAAGCTACCTCAGACACTCTGGCTCTAAGTCAGGTGTCTTTTAAAAGCCAGCCAACTTCTAGGATATTTGGTACATTCTGAGAAAGAGTGATTTTGATCTGATTGAGTCTAGACCCCTCCTAACAGCAGAGCACCTGGAACTCTGGATCTGCTTTAGGCCTGGAAAGCCCACCCAACTGAAACCATTAGGGTCCTAGCACCCCTTTAGAAGGCATAGAGGGTTTTCCTCACCTTTCAGTTTTGTATAGGGTAAATAAACCAGGCTAGCTAGTTATCAAGAAGCCATTACACAATGTCCAGACTAAGTGGCTTTATGGTCCAAATGAGAAATAAGGGGACATTTTCTCTGGGCCAGCATTACACGACTACTTCCATTATTCAAAAAGAAGTTTCTGTTTTTCAGTCGTATGTTAGGTGGGCTTGTATGCAACTGGAGGGGGTGGGTATAAGGAGGGGATGTTGCTTGGTTGTATTGAAGTTTTCAGTTTCTTCTCTCAGGAAAGCAGAACTAAAGGATTATACCAAAAAGAGAATGGAAGAAATCTCCTCCCAACTCCTGAAACCAGTTTTTGGTAACTTGACCACAAAGACAAGTGACATTTCACTTGGAGAATGCCAGTTTAAACTTCTATACTTTTGTTAGGTCAAGAAAAAGGCAACACTTGCAGGCCAACTATGGATCTGAGGCATACAGCAGGGGAGGGGTAGAAAGAGGGGCCAAAACAGAGGTGGAAAGAGAAAGGGACTATGGTATTAAAAAAATAAAATAAAATAAAATAAATAAATAAATAAACTTCTATACTTTTGTTTCTGAAGATCTAACTCCTATCTTTCCTCCACTTTCTTTGGAATCAACTCTACCATTTCTATTTCACAAGGCAATCTTAAACTGCAAAGGACATGCCAGTCCAGAAAAAGCTGGTTGAGGAGTTTTCCCCCAAAATGTAAGCCTATTCCAACCCCAGAATATGACCTCTGTTGGAAAGAGGATCTTCTGGGCTATAATTAGTGAAGGAAAGGTCATGATGAATGAGAGCATGCCCTAAATTCACTGACTGGTGTCCTTATAAAGCCATGTGGCAACAGTGCTCTGAGGGGAAGAAGCTTCTATGGAGGCAGAGACAGAGCTACACTGCCACAACCTGGGAGCACTGGGGAGCACAGTGGGCTGCAGGCACTGCCTGGGGCTAGGAAGAGGTGAGGAGGGTGGCTTCTCTGGAGGTTCAGGCAGAGCAAACTCCTTGATCTCAGGGTTCTAGCCTCCAGAACTAAAAGCTAGTAAGCCTATTTTAAGTCCCCCAGTTCGGGGTACTCTCTCCCACACTCTAGAAAGCTAACACAGCTGGAAAGGGGTTTCCTCAGCAAGAACTCACAAGCTTGCGGCAGAGGACAGGGACCAGAACAGCCCTGAACCATGGCAGGAACCCACAGCCCTGACCATACTTATTAGCAGGTCACAGGCATGGACCTCTGTGCCTCCTAACCTTCAGTGACATCTTTACTTGTCCTACCTGGGATTCAAGCTTACGGTCTGGGCCTACTCACAAGCCTGAACACACCCCATCCACGTGTCTGCCTTTAGTGTACCATCTTCCCATCCCAGCAAAGCATAAGTGTGAATATACTTTAGGGACAAGAGTTAAACTTCACAGCAGTTGTTTTTTAACACTTTGAGTTTCCCCAGAAGTATGTTTATTGCTCAGGAGCCCACAAACCTTAGGTCAGAGACCCTTGCCTATTTAGAAGCTCAGACTCCTTTAGGATAATTCCAGTCTCTCTTCCTGCCCACCCACCCATACCAGATTCAATTATAGCTTGCTTCTGAAATCCTCCACTGAATGGAAGGAAACACCCATTCACTTTTATTCACTGATTTAGAGAAAAAGACTTGCTATCATCCTAGCTACCGATGAGGCCTAAAAGGAAGACAGCATTAATGGACAGCTGGCCTCCAGGGGCCAACTTAGTCATGAGTCGCCAGTTCGACCCCACTTAACTCTCTGCCTTTCCTCCTCTAAGGTTCTCTCCTTTTCCTCTTAACTCATCTAACTTAACCTTCACCCACAAGCACCATCATGAGGCGTGAAATTCAAAGCAAAGTGAATAGCAAAATAAGCCATGTCTTTGTGCCGATTAATTGTAAATGTCTTACCTATAGGCATCTGTTAGGATACATCTGAGGTAGGACTTCCTCACCTTCTACATTTACAAAGATGTTCCTGTAGCCAGTAATCCACACTTCACTACCACAGAATTTTACTGCCACCTACTTTTCATTTCTTACTAGGTACTTTGAGTCTACAAAGTGCAACCTTTGAAATACACATTCCATTAAGATGGACAGGTCTCCCTGCTATCCAAAAAACAGCATTTCTATGAAACCTTCCTTCAACTGAAATGGCGCTGAAATGGCATAACACAAAGAAGCCACTGCCATTAAATGATATGGAAAATTTTTGAGTGTTCACAAACCTAAAAATTAACCTACCGGATCATACCAAATAACACATAAAGGTTAAAAATCACACTCACATGTGGTAAAAGCAGGAATGACATGATACATTCACAGCCTGTTTAAAGGAGTTCCCGGGAAAGGAGTTTGGCCAGGCCACTCTCGCTGCTGGGGGTGCCGCTGCCTTTAGAATGGCTGCTGCAAAACAAACGTGGAATGCTATGTTTGTTTCCTCTTTTGTAATGAAAGCAAAAGTCCTGTTCGGGTTCCTTTCGGGTATCGAAAAAAGGTACTACTGTGTCTTCACAAAAGCTAAGTGGCATACAGCGAACTTTTGAAAAGCAGGGGTAACTCTATATGGAAAGGCTTTCTTGCAAAATTCAATCTTAATCTTAAACCTGGTCCTGACAATCCAAACTCTCTCCTCCTGGTCGGCCACTCCAAACTCTCTCCTCTAAACAAAAGTGTTCTATTCTACAAGAATGAGCAGGCATGTAAGAGCCCCCAGAGGATGGGGCTGTGCTTGAGGCAACCTCGAAGCTCGAAGTTGTTTCTGATGTCCACCAACTCGCCCTTTCCTCATAGTCCCTACAGTGCCAATGTTCATTTCAGCCCCATCAGCTGACAACCCAGCTTTACCCCAATTTAAATAACCCAACAGATGGGCACAAAAGAGATAGTAGCCATTGGGCACGACAAGTAGGGTCCTGGAATCACCCTGCATTTCTAATGCTTCCTGATTTTACTCTAGTGACCTGGAGATATTCAGTTTTCCTAACTACCTGCTCAATCCAAGAAGCCAGGAAAGTGAATCTATTTAGGGCTCTAACAGACTGTACAGTCTGAAGGACTTTGCGCCACCCTCTTTTCTCCCCACCCCCTGAAAAAACAACACAACCTCCTCTTAAGCAGGACTTCCCTTACAAAGCCATCCTTCATCTTGTTCCTTTGTTTTTTTAAGTCATAAATATGTTAATCTTAAATTAAGGACAACCAATGAATTGCCACGGAAGTTATCAACACCATCTGTTTCTTACCTATTAGCAAGATCTTACTTAAATCTGTAAAGTCCGTTAACCTTTAAGAGTCTTGAAGGAGCTTGAATGTTTAAAAAGTAACATTCAAATTTATTATTTCACATTAGGGCTAATGATGCACAAGCTGAGACTGCTCAAGTGTCATGGTTTATAGATGCAGAACTTCCTTCCTTTACAGTTACAGGTCAAGTGCCTCATTTAGCTAGTCCTTGACTCGCAGCTGAAAAAGCCAAAGGTCTGTGTGAAGCGACAGAAGAACACATCCTACTCAGGCCAGGAGCACGGAGGCATGGCTGGAGAAGAGTAACAGTCCTGACCTCAGCACTGTGGAAGGCACTCTGCAACAATGAGGCTCCACTGCACAGAAAGGGGAACGAGCACTGAATTAGCTGAGCAAATTCTGGATCTAATTCTGACAGATTTCAGTCTGAGGAGCTCTACCAGAGGAGGTTCCACTCTCTTCTTCAACTCCCTTCTACAGAACAGAAAAGTCTTTCACAGCAGAGAGATTAACGGCCTTTCCGTTTCTTCATTTTTCCTCCTGCCACCTTGTTCCTGACACCAATAGCACCCTCTGTGTCGTCGTTGTCCCCTGCATCCTCCCGCGGGCGTTTCTTCTTTTCTCCATGCTCTCTCAACTCCTGCAAGAAAACAGAAAGGATGGGAGTGAAAGAGTTCCTGTAACTGAGGGTGACAGATGCTGTCTTCCCTCCTTAAAGTCAAAAACCTTCCATTAGCAAAGGTGACCAAAATCCCCACATACAAAGATGTCAACCTTACTAGTGAGCAAAACCATGAAAATTAAAAATATAAGCTACTATTTTCACACGGCAGACCAGCACACACTTAAGAGAATGGTAATTCCTCACACTGGTCAAAGTGTGGGGACATTCCCATATGCTGTCACTAAGAGCACAAATTGCTAGGGGAGCAATTTAGCATTCTCTATCAATTCAGATTTTACCAGTATGTACGCCTCGGTCTAACAATTAATTCTACTTGTAGATATTTATTCTAAAGAACAAGACAAGTATGCAAATTGTACATACTAGGCTGTTCAACACAGTACTAGTTAAAATACAAAAAATTGGAAAATGCATGAACACACAACAGTACATGCCATGTTATATATTCATAATGGAATTCTTTCCAGCCATTAAGAAATGATCACTGGATTGAATATGCACTGAAGTAGAAAATTAAAATCATTACCCCAAAACAATTCATGTCTAATTAAATAGCCAAATGTTAGCAATGGTTGTGTGGAGTGGGATAGCTATAAGTTTCACTTACTATTTTAATCTTTCTGTATTTTTCTGAATTATTTCTTCCAGTGCACATATTACACTTTTATAAACAACAATGCCAAACACAAAACTCCACATAGGCAGAGGAACAAACATAAGAGCACACTTTTGCTTCTGAGAACTCCGCCCACAGGTGTGTTCTGTGTCTCTATCCCTTGGGCTAGAATTCCAGGGAGCAGACAGCCTTGCCAGGGTTCTCCTAGAAAATCTTCTCATCTCCACTCCTACCGCTACAACTACTGTGAGGAGCTGTGCAGTCTGCCTCAGCTTGCCCGGTGTTCATAAAGCTTTTTAAGGTATTTAAGGTAAGTACTGTTCCCACGTGGCAGCTGAGAGCTGATTCTGAGAGGTTAGGCACCACTGTCTATACTTAAGTTCACAGGTGGGTCTTGTGACCTCAAGTCCATTTCTTGCCACATGTGAAACAGAAACAGTAGCTGAGAATGTGGTTGCTATGTCAGACTTAGACCAAGCTCCAATTCAACCATTCAGCAGTATGCTTGCAAATCACCAACCATCAATAAGCTCCTCCATTACGTGCATCTAAAATATGAAATAATACCCTACTCCTGCAGTTTACTGAGAAGGTCAGAACAGGCCTGGCACACAGATGACATCTTTTGCATAGAAGCTGGTGAAACAACAGTTCACATACCATCCGGGCAAACCTTTGGGCTTCAGCCACTCGTTCTGTCAGCATCATGACCTCATCATCCTGTGTGGGGAACACAGGCAATTTCTTCCCAATTAAGTGCTCTATGCGCTGGAAGAGTTCCACATCATACCTGAGGGAGGAAAATGAGCATGGTTTTGTTTGGCTGACATGCAAATAACCTCTCCATTCCAGAACTGTATGGTACTAATGATACGATGGCATAGGAGCCATGGTTTTAAACAATATTAAATCAATTAATCCTTTTCAGATACGCAATGCCCATCAGGAAATCTCCCATGGTATGCTTTACTCACAGAAAAGCCTGGGGAATGTAAAAATGTGTTCCTTAAAAATCAGAAACAGTCATTCTAATACTCAGTTGAGGGAAAAACAACTCTAACAACTACCACTTGCTGTGTTTCCACATGCCAAGTGCTACCACAGATCTTTTACACATGTATCTCTCTAATCTCCATTAAAACCCTGCTGGGTAGCTGTTTTTATTTCCATTTTATAATGATGAAAACAGGATGAGGGGGGTCAAAGGCCCACTCTTCTGTCTACACTGCCCTGCCCCTGCAGATGATTTACTTACTGGGTGACAAAGGTAATAGACTTTCCAGAGCGCCCAGCTCGAGCTGTTCGACCCACTCGATGAATGTAATCCTGAAACAGAAAGGGTAAACACAATCGAGTTATATGGAATGGAAGTAAAAAACGATGCGCGTCAAGTCTTATTGCAAATCTTTGAGAGAAAATGGATTTACAATGGAAAGTGGAAAACAGATTAGGCAATTTGTTGACATAAACCTCCTACACCTTTTTACTATACAAAATTGATCCCACTTCATTTCCCCCTTTCTTTTATTGAAAGACCAATCTAAAAGCAGCTCTCCAAGATTAGAGACAACATGACACAGAGAAAAACAGCCCTGGCTTAAGAAGCAGACGTGATTATAGCTCGGGTTTTACCACCGCTAGCTCCAGTTGTCTGTAAGTCACATCACCTCCCTGACCCCTGGTTTTTAATCTCTACAACAGGGATAGAAATGTATGCCCAAAGAGTTATGCATGCTCGAGAGTTACTGTCAAAATTAAATGAGACAGCACCTTGTCTCTAGCAGTTAAATACAAAGGCAAGAGATACCAGTTATTTTCAAGAGGGGATGATTCTGCACCTCCTCTCCTGCCCCTGATTTATTCCAAGGAATTCTAGGCATTTATTCTTTGGCAGACTTGGCAATGTCTGAAAACATATCTGGTTGTCACAATGTCACCTGTGGGTGGAGGTCAGGAATGCTATTAAGCATCCTCCAATGTAAAGGACAGTCCCTACAACAAAGAGTTCACTGGTCTGAATGTTAACATTGCCAAGGCTGAGAAAACCTGAGATGAACTGGGAACCACGAACTGCCATTTCTAAAAAAATGAAACTGGGCCTCCCTGGTGGCACAGGTGGTTGAGCGAAGCACTGTGAAGCTGTCCACAGCCTCTGCAGTGCCAGTTTGATCCCTGCCGGCCTCGGAGAAACCCACATGGCAAGCAGACCTCTCCTGTCTCACCCGTTGCTCCCCTCAGCAGTGTATTTTGTCAGTCTGGCTGGTCTGTTCCCCACTCTGTCTCTGGTGAATCCCCTCACCCTCCCACGCATCTGGCCTGTACCCCGGTTCTTGTATAAATAAAAATAAAATCTTAAAAAAATTTTTTAAATTTAAAAATTAAACTGACAAAGATCAGCACAGGCTGCACTGTGAGCATCTAATACTGCTCGTGTGTGTTAATGTCAACTCCACAGGCAGATGCAGGATGATGGGACTAGCAAATCAAGAACTTTCCCAGTTTTTTGATGTTTTAATGAAAGAAGGAAGGAAGGAACCCCACAACATTGTAACTAAGGAAAAACCATAATATTCCATGAAGAAAAACACTGTGGATTTGAAAGTCAGGTCAGCAATAAGACTCACCTTGGAATGGGTGGGAATGTCAAAGTTGACAACTACATCCACATGAGGTATGTCCAGACCTCGGCTGGCAACATCAGTTGCTAGAAGAATGGAACGAGCCTTTGCTTTGAACTTATTAAGGGATCCTAGGCGTTTGCTCTGAGATGATGAAAGAAGAAATGAAAAGACTTTTAATCTTGGAGAACTACGGAATCCTGGAATCCAAGACACACAAATTACATGAGCCAAGAAATAGAAATTTTTAAAAGGCGGCTCCCCCTACATCCACATTGAGCTTCAAGGAACATGGAAGCAACAAAAATAATATTTAAGAATAGACTAAGAGATACAAACATGAAACTGGGGTTATTTAATATAGTAACTGGGAAGTAATATACAAAAAGTCTTTAGGGACCACGAAATTACTACCACTAGAGTTAAGTAAATCAACATCGTCCATATGAAAATATAACACACCTCTGGAATATTCTAATTTGAGGCTTTTGCTATCTTGAAAAGAGGAAGTAAAGCATCCAGAGTGATACTTTAAAGCTCATAAAAACAGAAGAGGCATTAATGCCATGTATTGTTAATGCACACATCTGCTGCTCTAAGCTTTACTTTATCAGGCCACCAGTTCACAGCTGGTATAATAGAGAATCCTTACCTGGCTCATCTGTCCATGGAGGGGGATGGCAGTGAATCCAAGATTTCTGAGCAGCAGAGCTGTTCGCTGAGTATTGTTACAGGTGCTACAGAATATCATAAAGGAGTTTCCAGCCAATTCATTCAGAATATAAACCAGATATGTATCCTAAGTTACAAACCCAAAACAACATATGTAAATGAACCTGGAAAAAAAAAGCTGAGTTCTGGCATACAAACTAAGTAAAAGACTAAGTGTACATACAGTTGCTTCTCATTTATCCAGACTCCCAAGAGCCAGCTTTGCAGTCCCTAACCATGTGACCCATGCATTTCACACACACCCTCAATGCCATGCACAAGGAGCTCGGCACCCAGCACCCAAGAAACATCCTTACATAAAGCACAAAACTAAGAGCACTTGCCTACAAAAAGGTCATGCAATGAGCAAAGGGGAAAACACTTCAAGGATGGGGTTGGGAAGGAGTTATATCATAATTTCATTATTTTGGCTTAATATGCTGTGAATTCCTGGAATGTGTGACTTTATCAGTGATAAATACAAGCCCAGCACACACCCTAAGACACGCAGAAAGGACTCCAACTTGTAGCACAGCTCTCAGCTAATCAAGAGCTGACATATTTTCAAAAGCTTTGTTTGGTGAGGAAACAGGAATGATCAAAGCAAATACTTTACCTTGAATTTAGAGGGAATAAAAAGGTAATATTGCTGTAACTTCTCAACAGTCTGGTATTTGGAGGAAACAGCACATTTCACAGGATTCTTCAGAGCTGCTCGTTGAAGCTTTTGCACCTGAAGAGAGAAAACTTAGACTAGTACACCAATGCATAAAGGCTCTATTTTTATTTTGCTGACTGTTATTACTGGTTTTTACCAGTTCTTATAAAGAAAAAACAGAAGTCCGAGAAAATTTCACCTTCTTAGTCATGGTGGCAGAGAAGAGAAATGTTTTCCGATCTCGGGGAATCACTTTAAGGATCTTGTCAACCTAGGCACAAAGAGAAAAGGATCCCAACAATTAGACTAGACACCTACAAATCCTCTTTTGTGAAGGAGACTCAAAACAGAGAGTAACAAACTAAATCCTCACTGATCTGGGGGTTCAAAAGTTTAGTTCATTTCAGCTAAAATTTACTGAAATATCTGATACCACAGCAGATGCTATCAGAGAAAAATGCCATTCAGAGAAAAGAACAGCTTAAATCAGCAGATTAGAGCTAATCTAAGATAGGAGTCAAGAATAATTATTAATCAACTAAAGAGGCTATGAGGAGGAGGTCACCAAAGAAAATAAAGATATCTCAAGGTGTATGAAAGAAGTGTAAATCAAATGAAATGGAAAGGGAAGTCCACTTTTGATATTTCTCATCCCTGAAATCATGGTCACACTGTATTTTTAAGATAAGATACTAAGGCATTGACATTGTGAACAGCACCAAGAATGAAAAAAGCAAGAGTCGACCCCCCGCCAAGTCAAGCAGACTCAGACACATTCACCTCATGGAAGTAGCTGGAATAAAGCCAGCCAAGGACTACCAGACTTGAGTTCAACCAATCACCACTTGCAAACTCTCCATCAATGAGAACTGCACTGACTGAAAACCTGATCTGCATAAAGCTGACCATGTGTAAACTAACTCCCCTCCCCATCCCCAACCAGGGCAACTTGAACACACAACTCAAGAGCTTCTTGGGTCTGTGTTTCCCAGGCCACAGTCCTAATAAAACTTCCAAATAAATATTTGTATTTTGCTGAAAAGAAAGGAGGGGAGGGGAGGAGAGGGGAGGGGAGGGGAGGGGAGGGGAGAAAAGAAAGCAGTAAAGCTGTCTTCATTAGCTGGGGTGATACAGGGCCCCACACAGAGCAGTTGTGCAATGCCAAGTTGTGAAGGAGGTGCTTGGGTGCTCTGAGAGGAGGAAAGGAGCTGCGAGCTCACCTCTGTCTCAAAGTCCATATTCAGTATTCGGTCTGCTTCATCCATGACCAAGTATTTGAGCGCTCTTAAGTTGAAACCTTTTGTATTTTCCAAATGGTCAATTAGTCGACCGGGAGTTGCTACAATGAAAGAAGGAGCAGAGAGGGAATGTTTAAGGAAAAGGACAAAGAGTTATCGAGCCCTCCCTATCAACCTCCCAAATTTCAGAAATTAAAAAACTAAACAGGGCCATAAAAACTTATCCTGTAAGTTAATACCCAATACCAGATTTTCTCCAATTCACCACTCCCAGGGTCTTACCTCTGTTCATTACTTACCTATTACTATATGTGGTTTTTTCGCCAGGGCCAGAGATTGGGACATTGAATCAATGCCACCTACAATCACAGCTGCAGAAATAAAAGGAACATTAGTTGTTTTCATTGGTTTGCTGCACATCTAAAACCAATGCAATATTTCTACTTCAATTTCTCTTCCCTTACAAGTTCTCTTTCCCCAAAGCTAAAATACCAAATCGGGGGGCCTCCCTGGTGGAGCAAGGGGTTAAGCACAGTACTACAAAGCTATCCACAGCAGACCTCTCCTGTCTCATCTGCTGCTCTCCTCAGTAGTGTACTTCAGTCAGTCTGCCTGTTCTGCTCCCCACTCTGTCTCTGGTGACTCCTCTCACCACCCCCTCATATCTGGCCTGCACCCCAGCTCTTGTATGCATAAATAAATAAATCTTTTAAAAAAAAAAAAAGACAAAAAAATACCAAATGAATGCTTTAGGTCAATGAACTTATGCTAATACTTCCTCCCATTCTTTCCTCCCATCCTTTCACACTCATCCTCAGGTGGCAAAAGAACCTGAAGATGCCCTTCCTCTCACTCACCACACTGCACTCCAATAGAAGACCCCAGGGCTTCAAACTGCTCTGAGATCTGAAAGGCCAGCTCCCGGGTGGGCGTGAGAACCAAAGCAAACAGACGCTGGGGTGTCTCCAGCAGAGCATTCAGAATGGGCAGAGCGAAGGCCGCTGTCTTTCCAGAACCCGTTTCTGCCAATCCAATGATATCACGCCCTAGAAGGAAAAGAAAACATCTAATTGCAAAGACATTCCTTTTGTCTTCCCCCCACATTTTCTAGTGACACAATATTAAGCACAAAATAGGCACTGAATAAATATTTAAAGAACTAGGGGGAGAGGAAGGTTGAACTAAACAGAAAATATAGTATCTGTCCTAGATGAGCTTAAAATCCCAGGGCAAGAGACAAAAACACAAAAGCATACCAGGGAAGAGTCTCCACAGGCCCAACAAAGCACAGTGAGAACACAAGGAAGGAGGGACTTATGGCTTGCAGAAGTCAGGAAGATTAACAGAGGTAACAGGTAAATTAAATCTGCAAGTGCAGAAAGGAGGAGCAGAAGGTCATTCCTGTCTGAGGAAAGAGGGTAGAGGCTTTAAACCAGCATCAGGAGGACCACACGGCTAAGACACAGAACTTTAAGGGGCAAAGGAGAAGGATTAGACTAGAAAGGAAACTCATACACCAAGCTAAGGAGTTCAGGTATCTTCCTGTCAAAGAGAGAACGAGGGTTTCAAGGGGGCCTGTCATGACCAGTGTCCTCTGTAGGAAGGGAACCTCCAGACCTAATGGCAAAGGGGAGCCACGAAGATGAACAGCACAGGTCAAGTATCAAGCTCCTTTGAAGGGAAGCATTCGGCCAGCCATTCCTTAAGCACAGATCCTCAGACTTTATGCTGGCCAATCAGGCCCTAACTGCAGAGTGGAAATGAACTCTCACACCCAGGTGCCCCTCTAGACTGGCCCACAAGGTAGCGGTGATCAAGCCGCTGCCCTGTGGGAACACTTCCTCTTGGACAATGGCCTGTGCCTTGACTGTGCAACTGCTGAGGTTGCCTTACCTAGAGATCAGTCCTCAATAAACCCCCGATCTGAGACAACCCAAACAGGATTCTGTCCCTTACCATGGAAAATGATCTAAATGGCCAGAATGGGGAACAAAGAGGAAAAGATGAACTCCGTTAGGATAGCAGGAGACTCAGGATGGTGCCCAAACTGAGGCAAGGCAGTGAGGACAGGAGAAAGGGAGATTCAGAAAGCAGGCACAGCAAATGTGGTTGACACACAGGTTTCTAGCCTGAGAAAGGCACAGAATTTATCTTATAAATTAATTTATCTTATAAATTAAGATAACAGAAAAATTCATTCTGGTGAGGAAAATGACTACAACCTGAGGTCCCTGCAGTCAAGCTTAGAAAAGAAACATCTAAATCCAGTTGGACATACTTGTTTTTGTTTTTAAAAGATTTACGTAGACAAGAACTAGGGTGCAGGCCAGAGGTATAGAGGGTGAGAGGATTCACCAGAGACAGAGTGGGGACCAGAACAGGTGGATCTACTGAAATACATTGCTGAGGGGAGCAGTGGGCAAGACAGGTGAGATCTGCTGCACCACGTGGGTAGCTCCCTGCCTGGGGATTGAACTCGTACTGCAGTGGCTGCGGATAGCTTCATAGTGCTGCATCCTAACTAACGCTTGCGCCACCAGTGAGGACCCTGAACATACTTGTTTTGAGCTTAGCAGAAAAGTATGGGCTAGAAAAACAGCCATGGAAGCCATAAGCCTCCTGCCAGTGGTCTCTCCCAGGAGCAGACACATCCGAACAATCCATGAGGTTTTCATATGTATTCCTGCTAACATCAGACCCCTGGAAAATCTGAACAGTAAATTTAGTTTGGAGCCCAAATGGCTAACACTTTGAAAGTTCCCCAGATGATTCTGATGAGCACTGGCTGCAACTCAGTGATGCGGAATGTGCGAGAGCATCAGGACTAGATAAGACATCTTAACGTTTCTGAGGGAGGAAAAAAGGCTAAAGATGGGATCAACACTGCAACGGAAAGGGCCCAGAAGAAACGGAGCAAGAACAGCTACAGAGACAGAGAACAGCACTGTCTTAAACTTGAGGAGGAAGAATGCTTCGAGAAGGGAAAGCCATCATTGTCCAGAACAGACTTTGAATTTCTATCTCTTAGACATCGATCACGTAATCACATCAACTCAGATCTACCATTCCAGATCAAACAATGTATTTCAGTGAGTTCTACCCTTTAGCCTGAGGTTTACCTGAGTTTTACCCTTCTATCCATTAATCTCTGTGCTTTTCCTACAAAAGAACATGCAGAAACATATATAAGACAGGACAATGGGCTAATCTGGCAAAGGTTACAGGGACAAATGACAACAGAGGGAAAATATTTCTTCCTCATCTATGATTCAACGTTCCCCTTAGTTACAAAGGTGCCAATGAACTGCAACAATGTCCTCGTATTTTTGAGCTAAGAATTGTCAAAACTTTTTATTCCTCCACTCTTTAAAAACTCTGTCTGTCCGATCCTTGTACCAGAACCTCTCTCGGGAATAGAAAAAAACCAGTAGGATCTGGCCTCTTTTTTTGTCAAGAGAAAGCTTAAAATTCTGGAAGGGGAAAATAAGATTTAGGGAAGTAAAGTAGATTCCATGGCTTGATGCAGGCGATCAGAGAAACCCCCACTGCTACAGCTAAGGCTTGCACACTTTGTTCTTCTATGATCCCCCAGAGCTACCTGAGAGCAACACTGGTGCTACGCCCTGCAGAGACTTTCTCCACACTAAGGTTCTTTATACTCCTCTTCCTATCTTCTGTATGTAATGGAGTGGCTGCCATCCCCAAAATGCTCTTACCTAATGTGTCTGAAATTGCACTCTCATGATTCTCAACCCTCCTACTGAGTCTCCATTTCTCCTCTGTGTTCTCTCTTAGCTTCATTTTGCAACCTAACATGTTTGGATAACAGGTTTCTATGTAGTTCTGGTCCCTTTATCAAGTTGCAATTCTTAGATTCCAACTGTGCATAGTTGACGCTAGCTCTTTGGTAACCAAGATCAATTATTCCCAGTAAGCTCATCTTTCTTAAAATTGTTTTTCTTTTAAATAAGTTGTACAAGGCCTCCCTAGTGGCACAAGGGGTTAAGTCTCAGCATTATCAAGCTATCGCCAGCCAATGCAACACGAGTTCAATACCTGACCAGGGAGCTAACCCACATGGCACAGCAGACCTCTCCTGTTTCGCCCTTGATCCCCTCAGCAGTGTATTTCAGTACATCTGCCACTCTGTCTCTGGTGAATCCTCTCACCCCTACCATACCTCTCCCAGTTCTTGTATGCATAAATAAGTAAAAATAAATCTTTAAAAAAAAAGTTTTGAAAAAAATAAGTAAGTTGTACACCAATATGTCCTAAACACATAAGCCAAAAATTCTGTAATAATCTTGTATGTCCCCATTGCTTCCCTTCCACTGACCAAACTGGATGTAAGATTATCTATCATCTTCTCTTTTTCATCCTCACTTCCACCACTCTATTATTTATTGCCAAAGTATTACAATGACCTCCCAAATGGTCTCCCAGTCTCTGCTCACCGGGCTCTAAACTATTTAATGAGCTATGAGATTAATCTTCCAAGAACACAACTCTAAGGAGTATATGCCTGCTAAAAAAAAAAAAAAACCAAAAGTATTCCACTCTCTATGGAACTAAAGCCAAATTCTTTTATCCAGCATTCAAGGACAGCCTAACCTGATACCCATCAACTTACTGTTCTTTTCCACCACTCAGGTAAGTATTTTCGAGTATTCACACAATACCATGTTTTCCAGCCTCGTTGGCTTTTGTTCATACTGTTCCCTACGCCTAGAAATGTCTCCTCTCCCATCACATCTGATTGTCTAGATTCTACTTCAGCTCAAATGTATTTTAAAATAAAATATATTTTCCCTAATATTTTTAATCTTCAGTGAGCATATTTTTACTTCACTTGAAGTGTGCAAACAATAATTCTCTAAGTGGTAAATATTTAATTGAGTATAACTTCTGACTGAATCTGCACCAGGTCACAGATTTCATCTCAACCTACCTTGTAAAGCCAAAGGAATAGCTTCAATCTGGATCTTGGTGGGCTTTGTCCATCCCAACTGGTCACAGGCTTCACACAACACATCGGTCACACCCTTAGAATTCAGAAAAATACACTTCAATCAAGAGCACACACTTGCCTCTCTCCTAATTAAATGACTATCAGAGACCTTGCTGATGACACGTGCATCCCGTACACTTTGACTGAAAAAGTACCTACTGTGAGCCTATTCAGTCTGCTCTTTGAGAGTGGCTCAAGACTCCACACATTCTCCTTACCAGGCCAAGGCCAAGTTCTTTACATGTATTATTTCATTTAATCCTCACAGTTCTTGGTACTTATTATAGTCATCCCTAACTTACAGAGGTGCAAAGTGAGGCAGAGAGAGAAAATCTGCCTCTAGCAAGTGTTTGGGTCAAAACTGGTTCATCTTACTCTGAAGCCCAACATATAATTTTTAAAATCCGATTAGTCGCAGTTACAACAGTCACTCCAAAACGGAAAAGAGCGCAAATGGGGCTCTCAGAGGTCGGCAGCCCTAGCCAAAGCCCCAAACTCAGAGGCTGGGGTAGGAAGTCGGGAAGCCGAGCTTCAGAAATTCTGGGAGAAACATAAGTGAGGCCCCAGCTGCTTCTGTACAGAACCGGAGAGTATCTAATATAACAGGACTCTTGCCGGCTCCTGGTGCCAGTAGTAGACACAGAAGTTAGCGTCGTCCACTCTCACCAGGTCTTTAAATGTTTTAGTTTCCTCCTCCCCGACAGCCGGCTGGGGCTCTTCACTCGCGGGATCGTGCTCCTCGGACGCCGCCATGTTGTCCGCGAGTTCCGGAAGTGAGTCGGCGGCGCACGGGCTGCTGGGAAATGTAGTTTTAATTCTCGAAGAAAGCGTGTTTTGGGCGACCCCTACGGGATTTCCGGGGTCTTGCATCAGACTGCCAGGCGTGTGGGACCTCCAGAAAACTAAGAATTTAGAAACCTCGCGAAAATAATAGTCGTTAGGAATGGCTACGAGCAGCGTATGGACTTGGGGAATTGAACCATGTGCAGGAGGGACAGGCAACACAGACCTCCAGTCAGACCTTTAGGTCCATTTTAAAAATTTTCCCCACCTCTCATGTTGTTATACCCCTCCCTTTCGTGGACAGGTTGATAATAACTGTACTATTTATTTTTTTAGAAAGATTTATTTATTTATACAAGAGCTGGGGTACAGGTCAGAGGTGCAGGAGGGTGAGAGGATTCACCAGAGACAGACCAGGGAACAGAACAGGCAGACGGATCAAAAACACTGCTGAGGGAAGCAGCAGGCGAGACAGGAGAGGTCTGCCAGGCCATATGGGTATCTCCCTGGCTAGCAGGGAATCGAACCCTCACTGCAGAGACTGAGGACAGCTTCACAGCTCTGTGCTCAACCTGCTACGCCATAGGGGAGGCCCCACTGTACTATTTATTATAATTATTCCGATCATTTATTCAGGGCTATGTTAGATGCCTAAGGAACAGAATAGCGTGCCTGTCCCTCATGGAGAAGACAGATAATGAGGTGATCACAGATAATTTCGAGTTGTGAAAGGTATTCTGATAACCAGGAATTAAAATGACGGAGAGTAACCTGGGGGGTTGGGTTATGGGGATAACTGTGAGATTGGGGAAGCCCTCTCTGAGGCAGTGATCTCTAAGCTGAGACCTCACTGATGAGCAGGAAAGAGAGACAATTATTTCAGGCTAAGGGGGAAAGAAATACAAAGGCCCTGAGGGAGTACAGCAGATGAGGTTTTTCTGGAAGCAGTCTGCCACTACTGAGGCAAATGAAATATGTTGTATGCCCTGGACTCAGCCAACCGGCTCCTGTGCCAGCTGCAGCTTCTCACACCATGCCAGCTGACATTGCAGCGTTACTGTGGTTACTGTGGAGGTGGGCAGTTGGAGGTGCTCCGAGGTCCATTGCTGGAAGAGTGGATAATTAATATGAGCACATGGTGTGAGAAAACATGCCCCAAATCTCAAAAGTTTAGTGCTAAATGAGGGAAATATAAACGGCACCATGTACACCTGAAACATCTCCCCACAGTCATTGCATTTGACTGGAAAATACATATAAATAGGAGACAGTGGGCCTCCCTGGTGGCGCAGCATGAGTTCAATTCCCAGCCCACCAGGGAGCTTACCCACATGGTGCAGCAGATCTCTCCTGTTTCTCCCACTGCTCCCTTAGCAGTGTATTTCAGTAGATCTACCTGTTCTGTTCCCAACTCTGTCTCTGGTGAATCCTTTCACACCGCCCCCCCCCCCCCGCACCTCTGGCTTACACTCCAGTTCTTGTATGAATAAATAAATAAATCTTTAAATATATATAAATATATAAATAATAATAATAAAATAAATAGGAGGCATTTTAAAATGGTTGCCTGTGAGGAATTGGGGGGAATTGGGAATTGGAGAAGTGCGGATAAAAGAGAATAAATGTACAAAGCTAGAGAGAACCCTTGGGTGAAGTGTGCCTTGATCTGATCATCGTAAACTCAGTGTGCCCGAGACCCTTCCCACCACTACACCAAAAAACGCACCAATTTAGGAATCCCACTAGACTCAACCACAAAGGGAGGGAGATCAGGGAAGTAGACTCAGATCAGCCCTGTTGAGAAAGGTGTGGGGTTCAGATATGATCCTCAATAAAAAAGGAAGCCCCTGGAGGGTTTTGAGCAGGGGAGTGACAGGATCTGCCTTTTCAAAGTATCATTCTAACTCTGCATGGAGAAAGAATGTAGAGAAGAAAGAATGGAAAAGAAAAACCACCTAAGAAGTAAGAGATGGCACCAGCAGTCAGTGCACAGCTTGACATAAATTCTGCCTGAAATGGATTACAACTCAACAGAGCATTGGCATCAGGTTTCATGAAGACCAGGAAGACTTCACCGCCTGTCTCTTTAGAGAATGTTTGAGATTCCACCACAATGGAACAGGCTGGGACCTTTGGTCTTTATGTCAGTTCATCCCAAGTCCAAGGACAGGAGAGAAGTCACACTCTGTGTGAAACAGCAGGTGACCCTGAAATGCTTCCGGCAGGCAGTCCTTAGCACTTACCCTTGCCAAAGCAGTCCTTGGCCCTCAGCTTATTTAGCTCCCTCATGGGACTCCATTTTCCTGGATCTGGGAATTAGGCCACGCCACGTGATCTCCAAAGTGGAAATAGGCTTAGGGAGAAGGGGGAGTAGATTTATCAAAGAAAACCTTCCATCCTCATTCCAGCCCTTCCTCTTCTTCATACTGCTACTGTAGACCTCCAGGGGAAGTTGTGCTCCTTGTTTGACAAATGAGGAACTCGGGTCCTGGACAGTAAAGAGACATGTCACACAGTAAGCTAACAAGAAAAAAGACTGGAAGCCAGGCCTCTGGAGACCCAGAGCAAAGCTTTGACTGGGCATGACCTGATCATATGCAGCTTCCTCTGAAAACTCACACTCAGAATTCCTATGCCACACAGACTTTTCTGTAAAAACAGAGAGAAGCAGCTGGAATATGTATGCTGCTTCCCTTAGACTCTTTCTCTGATTTCAGCTAGGGGAATGGAACATAAATGAAAAGTGCTGACAGAATGGGGAAGACATGATGGGGAGTGAGGGAAGCAGAGACAAGAGGCTCATAAAGGAAACCCAGATGGAAACAATTGGCAGGATTTTACAAGTGTATATAAAATATAGGGTCTAAAGTTACCCATGTTTTGCTAAAACGTGTTACAGACAAGAAAAAAAAATCACGTAGATTTCCGAGGGCCCAACACTGCTCTAAAGAGAAACTGCTATAAACCACTCAAATGCTATTATAATGTGAAACTCTTTCCATTTTAGTCATGCAAAACTTTTTTCTGTTTGTTCATGGATAATTCCCATATAGGCTATTTTTAAAACCTCCTCTGGTGCCAGGGCCCCTGAGGCACCCAGGGAAACTATGGCCGCCATGACAACAGCAATAGGGATCCACTCTGTGGTGCTGGCCAGACCAGCGAGGTTTGGGTCTCCACCAGCACTCTCCTAAGGACAGGATTCATGTCAGACCCCCAGTGTGAACCCAGTTGGGTTCCAGAGACACAAGCCTGCATCAACTGCCAGGATGGCCTATTTTAACTATTCCCCCCAGATTTGGAGCCATTTAGATATTTGTATTCTGGTCATGGAAAGAAGAGAGGTCCCTTCTAGTACCCGAGCCATGTCATATCCTGTGCTTTAGAACAATGAGGAAGGTTAAAGAGGAAATCCAAATAAACACACAAAATGATGAAGGGAAGGCCAGCCCAAAACAATACATTGGCTCCAGAAGGAGAGGTAAAAGGCCATGACCGGCCTTGCTCTATTGCCTCAGCCTGCCTGACACAAAAATATTAAAAGTTCTATTTTATAACTGTATAGTAATGACAAATATATTGGTGTCCTATATTAATATAACGTATCTGACTTAAAGGTTCTTTTCTTTTGATTTTAAAAGAAAGATAAATCTTTTTAGTAGGCCTTTAAAGGTACCGTGGGCTCCTAGACTCTGTGGTTACTGAGTCTGGTGAATAAGGGAAGGACATGTGGACCGTGGTGAGCCCTTCCAGAGGCCAGTGACACTAGGCGATTGTGAGGTGGGCCTGGACAGTGAGGGTTCCTGAGCCAAAGGTAAAATAAGCCTTCAAATGGAGAGACAACAGATCTGTGGAGCATTCAAACAAGACTGAGTTAGTCAAAACAAACAAAGTCTTCAATACGAAGAAAAGCATGAGGGGCGGGGGTCCAGAGAGAAAGGAACTGCTGGTTGAATTGCATTAATTATACGATGAATGGATTGGTGGGGATCACCAGGAAATGTGTGTAGGCATCTGATTCTACTGCTGTACACCTGCAACTTACATGTTATCAACCAATGTTAACTCCATAAAATTTCTTTACAAAAAAGAATCAGTTCTTAATCAGTCTCTACACAAAATCCTCCCAGGAGTTGCATGCCCTAAAGACTATTTTTGGAGAAAGCTCACTTATACAAAGTAATTCATCAAAAAGGAGCCAAAGCAAAATTTAAGATTATCTTTAACTTATGAATTATAACCTGTTATGAATATGTACATTCAAGTGAAGAAAAGACAGATGATGTGATAATGAGGACAGAGAGAGGATAGCTCACATGGAATCTGGAAAACTGTATTTGTTTCTTTATTCAACAAATATTCACCAATACCACACCAGATATTAGGATCCAGAAGTGAGCATGAAACTATGTAGAATCTGCGAAGAAGTTTCTTGGGAAAGGAGAATTCTGTGGCAGATGGAATTAAGGTTGCTGGCAAGCTAACTTTAAAATAGGGAGAGAAGGGCCTCCCCGGTGGCGCAGCGGTTGAGTGCTGGGTTGCGAAGCTGCCCGCGGCCTCTGTAGCGCCGGTTCGATCCCCGGCTGCTCCCCGGCCACCGGAGGAGGGTCCCACATGGCGCACAGACCTCTCCTGCCGCCCGCTGCCCACCTCAGCAGTGTACTTAGGTCCTTCTGCCTGCTCTGCTCCCTGCTCTGCTCCCTGCTCTGCTCCCTGCTCTGGCTCTGGTGAATTTTCTCACCCTCCGGCACTTCTGACTGTACCCAGTGCTTGTATAAACAAAAAACAAACAAATAAATAAATAAGTAAAACCTGCCTCTATTAAAAAAAAAAAAAATTAAAATAGGGAGAGTAGCTTGGATTGTCCAGGTTGGCCCAGTGTGAATAGGAGGGTCCTGAGAAGTGCAGGAAACAGCAAGAGAAGAGGTGAGAAAGACGCCGTGGGAGAACGATGCAGCCTGTCACCATGGCTTCAAAGACAGAGGAGCATGACAACCTCCAGAAGGTGGA